AAAAAAAAAAAAAAGTGATAACAACATCAACTGTAAAAATTCCTACTATATCAAACTGTAATCACAGAGCGCTAATTAGTGCAATCAGAAATCATCTCATAAATTTCCAGTTGTTCATTAACCTGTTTATCCACAAATTTCACTCATTAACTGTATTGTTTTCAGTTATATAAATCTCAAGATTTATACTTCTCTGTGCAATTCGCAGAAAAAAAAAAAATAATAATAATGATAATGAATGAAAATATAAAGCATCAATTTAAATAAACAAAAAAAAATTTCTCAAAAATAAACTTCAAGAAAAAAAAAATTAAACTTAACAGATAACTAAAGAATAAATTTTACTGTTTATGCTATCAAAATTTTTCACTGATATTTTTCATAAAAATTTTTGTAAAACAGTTAACTAACTAAAACGATTTACAAAACAGAATGAACTTAAGAAAGAAGAAGAAGAAGAAGAAAAAAAAAAATTATGCCATTATATTCAATTTATCACCTGTTTTTGTGGTAATTATTTGACACCTGTTATCCATTAACAGATTATTAAGAAACAATTACATCAAAAATTTTCACCTCTAAACAAATCCATTAAATGCTTCAAACACCAGAAACCCAGTTAGTATAAGATAGCTGCTGGTGCTGTTGCTGTTGCTGCAAAGAAATCTTAAACAGAACAAATTTCTCCAACGTTATTCCTACATTTCTTTCAACAGTAGCATATTCAGAAAAAAAAAAAAAAAAACTTCAACCAACCCCCAAAAGAAATAGAAAACTTTTTTTTGTTGAAGAGAAGAAAAAAGAAAAACAATAATGAAAGAATCAAATAGAAATATTAAGAGAAAAATAAAACATTTTATTCAGTTACCGAGTCAATAAAAATACAGGGAAAAAAATTACCAAAAAAAAAAAAAACTCACACCTATCAAATAGTTTGCTGGGATCATTGATACTGCTGAAAAATGTATTATAAATTACGTTGACAATCCATTCAAAAATAGCAGTAGAAAACGAGCAAAAAAAAAAAAAAGCAATGTCTAGCATAAAATTACTTTACTGAATAAACAATTAGTTACTGACTAAGATAAAAGCTAAAAATAACCAAAAAAAAAAACAAAAACAAAAACAGAAACAAAAAAAAAAAAACTTATGAAAAAAAAAAAAGAACCTTTCAAGCCACAAATACGTCCATGTCTAAGAATCCAATTAACAACAACAACAACAACAACACCAACGACAAAAAAAGAT